TGTTCCAACATTGGCCATTGGAAACTCTTTCAGGTTGGCTCCTATGTCCCTCTGACATGACCCCATCCTTTTATTTTTATGAGCATTTCTTTACTTTCTGGCACTACAAGATGCTCCCCACTCCTCTTCCTGTCTCTTTTTCCCACATCATAGCACCCTAGCCACTAATTTACAGGTAGGCCCAATTGTTCTCTTTTGTAGGATGGAAGCATTTCACATCGCCTACATGCAGTGCCTGTGCTCTTAGCCATAGGACTTGACCCAACTATCCAAACCGTACCTGAATTTAGATCAGATCTTAGACATTTTACTGTGCTTGTAGGGCCTATCCCTGGAGCCAAGTTGGGGCCCCTCCATCTCTTACCTGGTCCCAACATCCTCCTTCAACCTGACTGTCCCATGTAACCTGGCCCCAGCCTGTCTAATATACATGACCACCGTAGTTATGAAAAGAATAGCTGATTTGGTAGAGAAGTCATGGGTTCCATTTTTTATATATCAAGCCTGAAGTATATGCTATATCCAAATGTCTTCTGCCGCTTCATCTCTTACTTTTGATCCAGCACATAGGTGTAGTGAAAACTGGCTTCTTTCAACTTCCACAATCCAACCAAGTTTTCTGGGATAGACTCATTAGTCATTTCAAAATAATTACTGCCTTGGGCCGGCTGAGTGGCTCAGTTGGTTAAGAGCTCGCTCAAGAGTTTGAGCTCTGAGCAACAACAGTTCTATTCCCAACCTGAGCTGAGCTGCCGCTGAGCTACCAACAGGTGGCAGGATGGCTCAGCTAAAAAAATAAATAAATAAATAATAATAATAATAATAATAATAATAATAATAATTACTGCCTTGTGTTGATAATAGATTACTCTCTAGCTGTTTTTGCCCTCAGATGTTTGCTTTCTCCAAATAATGGCAGAAGTTTTCACCCTACCATTTGTCTCTGGATTGTTCTTAAAAAATCTTTGCACTCCTGGTCTGGCCGATTGGCGCGTTGGTTAAGAGTTGGTTTGGGTTAAGAGTTACCAGCTCTGAGCAGCAGGGCCCCAGTTCGGATCCCACATGAAGGCCAGTTACGATGCACCCTCTATAGCTAAGATGGTGAACCACAACTCGACCTGGAGCTGGGCTGCCGTGAATTGCCGGCGACGGGGTAGGCTGCAGTGGAGCTGTAGTGGGCTGCTGTAAGCTACCGTGAGTGGCTGGCAGCCAGCGGCCGCAGCCAGCATGAGCTGCCAAGAGCTGCCGTGAACAGCCGTCCAGTGGCTGGCAACCGATCTGCCTCACCCGGGAAGAGCACGATAATAATACCAATGTGGGCCAGTGAAGCGCCATCCTCCACAACTAGACTGAAGAACAAAAGGACAGCAACTTGTCTGTTCCCCTCCCCCGATTCCCCAATGCTGTTCCCCTCCCCCAATTCCCCAATAAAATCTTAAAAAGAAAAAAAATATTTGTACTCCTTTAGTTCTGCCTGGAGCTCAGATACCATGGACAATGACCTGACTCTTTGATTATTGGATCCATACACCAGTGCAAGCCACCAAACATTCTCAGGTTTTCTTTGGATGTCCCCCCAACCCCACCCCCACCTCCTTTCTTCCAACATTTTCCTTGATTCTTGGTCTGCCCTGTAATCTCCCAAAACAGTTCTGGCAGCTCTCTGTACCTAGCCTACTGTTCCAATCCACTTCAACTCTCTGTCTTGTATTGGAATCATTCATATGTGCTTGTGAGCTCCTAAGGGGTATAGGGATCAGATCTTAGTCATCTTTGTCTCCTCCACAGTGCCAGAGTGCAGTCAGCTTCTAAAGTCCCCAAGGTGAGCAGTACTCCACCTTGTTCATGACACCTGAATAGCATATGCAACTGTATAAGTATTGACTTCACTTGATGTCTTTGTATCATCCAAGTAATTGGCAAGTAAAACAAACCAACCAAACAAAAAACTCTGGGCTTCCAGAGTCCTCCTGCATCCAGCTTTGGGTAAATCTGACCCTGTATCATATCATTCTACATGTGGGAATGGGGCTACTCTACATGTTAGCCTCATCAGTAGGCTCAAGGGGTGCTTCGCCCTCTCCAGCCCTGGAGAGCTGGGTCTCATCTCTGTCTTGACCCTGCTCATGATGCCAAGATGAGAGAGGAATTTACCCATGGGAGAGAGTTGTGGGTAAAGAGGAGAAGAGAGCCTTTGCAGGATTCTTTCCTGACTTTACCCAACTCAAGTTGTAGAATTAGGAAGAGGTGTTTGTGGAGAATTAAAACCAAAGGGATGACACTCAGACGGCACTATGGAAGTGGTGGTTGAGGGAATGACTGGTTAAACATCTAAGGTAGCAATGTAAATATAGATGTAGAACAAGAAAAGAGAAGTCAGATAGAGACTGGAGGCCCACAGATATATAGAGGGCCTTTGAAAGGTTGATTATCCTCATAAAACCAAAATCTGTTTGGCTACTTAGTAGTCACCCTCCTGCCTAAAGGTTCAAGTGAGCTTCAGAGAGCTTTTGTGCGAAGGGTTCCTGGGTGTCTATTAGCTGGGTATTTCTCAGGCACAAGGGGGAGCCAGTTCTCTACTATCAGAGTAACACTACGTCATAGGAACTGAAGAGCTGGCATAAGTCAGAGATGAGCAAGGGTGACTTTGATTTGTAAAACAGGTGACTGCTGAGGTCTAAAATGTACAGACTGGGGTTTCTAGTGTTTATTGGGTCCCACCACCAAAGAGTGTTCAGCACCCCCAGAGTTCCTCATGTCTCCCTTACAAACACTGGGCAAGGGATGCAACTCTGGTCTAATGTGCGGATATAGCATTCATTCCAATGGTAAGGATCCTGTCATGCCTAATGGGGACTGTCTTTTTCTAGGTGTCCTATGTTGGGGTCACAACTTCTTCCCTCTTCCCCTGAATTATCTAAGTTCCTACTTCTCCTTGTTTGTGTGATTCTGTATAGAAGTAGAGCGTGTTGCATGTGTGTGCACACCTACAAGCACCTACATGTTGGAGATGGGATATAGAGATGCTGGAAGAGGTTCGAGCTAGTGGCCATGAAATGGGGGGTGGGGGGGAAGAAATAAAGAAACAAACCTGATGTTGGGAACAACCCATGCCACCCACCTTGTCCCATATCTGACCTATTGACTCTGATCTACCAGATTTGGAAAGTTAACTTGCCAAAAGAAGACATTTAGTTTTTTTTATTTCTGAAATCAGAATATGCCAGTGAAAGTGGAGACCACTGGGTCAAGAACATGAACTTCCCCAAAGTAGAGACTCCTTCTCTCCACCCTGGGCTGCTGGTGCCCCTGGAGACTGGGCCTCTCCTCCCACCACACGTGCTTCTGGCCCAACAAACCCCCTGGGCTGGACTGGGCTTCACTGCTCAGAAGTACCAGCTCCCTGAAGGGCAGGCTCTAGAGTCTCCAGGGGGTCCGCATGTGCTTCTGACTGGCCCAATGAGGGCGTTCCTGACAGCCTCACAGCGGGAGCAGCAGCCTGGTGTGCCTGGGCCTCAGGGATGGCACACCAGAATAAGAGGCTCAGCAAGGCTACAGGGACCACCTGTGGGGAAGAGGTAGGGAGAACTGGAGCCTGAAAACATAAAGTCATCGGGGGAAGGACCCTGGAAGAGCTACAGCATTCAGTGTGGAAATCAGAAGCCACCAGGTGGGATGCAGGAATAGAAGGGAGTTATCAAGATCACAAGTTATAATGAAATGGGTCAAGAGCAGAGAGAAACCTTCACTCTGACGCTGAAAACTCCTATTCATCCATTAAGACCCAGTTCAAAGATCCCTTCTCACTCTCTTTCCTGACTCTCTTCTTAGGCATGACTGAAGACCCCTTTTTCTGCACCCCTGTAGGCCCCTTTTCATACCTTTGTGACTACTTGTCACCATCATGTCTCCCCCAGGAACAGAGAGCTCTTTGGCAGAATGTCACTGAGCTTTGTAAACTCAGTGCCAAGCAAAGTTCCTGACACATTGAAAGTAGTTAGTGTTTGCTGAATGACTAACAGTCGGCAGGACACCTGTTCCTTCTCATGTGCAACCTGGATATGGAAGGAGATGGGAGCAGCCCAAATGTCATCTGACAGTGGCTGAGGGAAGTGGATCACCTGGAGGAGCTTCTCCATGCATCGAGCCTTGGGCTGTCCAGAGAACCGCTGTGGAAGAGGTGGTAAGGTCAGTGTTGAGCCAGAAGGCCAGGGGAGCTGAGAATGGGGTCAAGGAAGGAGAAAGAAGCAGGACAGGGGGAGTCTAAGAGACCAAAGGCTAAAGGCTGTACAGAATTCGTCAATATAGGCCAGCGGTTCTCAACCTGTGGGTCGCGACCCCTTTGGGGGTCAAACGATCCTTTCACGGGTCGCCTAAGACCATCGGAAAACAAAAAGATACTTACATTACGATTCATAACAGTAGCAAAATTACAGTTATAGAGTAGCAATGAAAATAATTTTATGGTTGGGGGGTCACCACAACATGAGGAACTTTATTAAGGGGTCGCGGCATTAGGAAGGTTGAGAACCGCTGCTATAGGCAATCCCAAACTTACACCTGGGGATTCCCAGGTGTAAAGAAAAACTGGGGTGGAGGGGTTGGTGCTGGGCCTTGACTGGCTGGGTTCAACTAGGGAATTAATGGCAAGTTGGTCACATTTTTGGCCATGTCTCATTAACCCCATAGGTTGGTAATCTTAAACTGAACTCATTCCCTCTGGTTTCCTTCCTAATCATATCCATCCTTTATACTGCTGTCAAAATTGTTCATCTGCAAATACTGCTTCTATTTTGTAACACCCTCCCCTCTGTCTAGCTCAGCACTATCCATCAGAAATATAATATGAGCCACATAGGTCATTATGAAAAGAAACAGGTAAAATAAATTTTAATCATTTTATTTAACCCAATATATCCAAAATGTCATTTCAACATGTAAACAGTATTAAAAATTCTTAGTGAAATATTTTACAATATTTTTATACTATGTCTATGAAATTCAGTATGCATTTTACAATCACAGCACATTTCAATTCAGTATGCTACCTTTCGCATAAGAGAAAAAAGGGTTTTGTTTTTCAAAAAGAAATACAGCAGAGAATGTTCAAATACTAATGTGGATATGTCACAAGGACACAGGGGCCAGCTTGAATGAGCTTTCATTTTGAGCATCAAAATGAATAACTACAGCAACGGATTAGAACACATTTAACAACAATAAAAATGCATGAATCCATACCAATACTAAACAAACGTATGTGGGGCAGGAAGGGAAGAGAAAGATTTTCTTTACAGGAGAATGCCAACCAATAAATGTAGACAGAAGCATAAAAACAGAAAAATCACCATTTTAAAACCACCAAGTAATAACCAAGTCAACCAAGAATCATCAGTGGATGCTAAAACCATTATGTGAAGGACTGTTGAGGACTAGGATATGAAGAAATCTAACAGACACCATCTTGACCTAATGATCAAACCAATAAAGGGACAAATTGATATCCGGCACCTCCTGATGTGGTACACTGATAAAGGCATGACCTCCTCTATACAGTGCTCCTGCCAAAAAAATGTAACCTGAATATAATGAAGAAAGAATCAGGCAAATCCAAAGTGAGGTACATTCTGGATAACAATTGGTCTAGACTTCTTACCTATCAATGCCGCGAAAGACATAAAAAATGGCTGAGGAACTCATCTAGATGAAAGGAAACTAAAGAGTCCTGATAACTAAATGCAATGTATTGTCCTTGATTGGATCCTGGATCTAGAAAATGAAAACAATACAGGGATAATTGGGGAAATTTGAATAGTCTGTGTATTAGATAATTGTATTGCATTGTCATTTTCTTAAGTGTGATAATTATATTGTAGTTATGTAGGCAAATGCCCTTGTTCTTAGGGGACACAGTAATTTGTGTCAAGTGTCATAAGATCGCCAATTATTTTTCAAATGATTCAGTGGGAAAAGAGAGATGAAGCAGATGAGGCAAAAAGTTAATGATTGGTGAATCTAGAGAAAGCATATGAGTATTCATTGTCCAATTCTTGCCATTTTTCTGTAGGTTTGAAATTTTTCATAATAAAAGTATGGGGGGGTTACATTAAAAATATTTCTACAACTAAAGATTGACCAGCCTGATGGAAGCTTCCTTATGTCAAATATTTTCAATATATTTAGAAAGATAAAAACCAGACTTGGGCAAAAGACAAAAGCCACAAAAAATAACTGATAGATTTAATTACGTAAAATATAAAATGTCTCTATATCAAAAACATAGAAATAAAAAATCATCAACTGGGAGAAATGCAAAACAGAAAAAAAAAAGGCTACTGTTCTTGTTATATATACTCCCTTTCGCAAATTAGTAAGAAAAAAAGAAATACCCCCAAAAGCATGGGTGAATGTTCCTCAAAGATATGAAAAAGCAGTACAATAAAGGAAAAAAAATCAATGGCTAATATGTAGCTTTAAGTAGCCAATCTCCATAGTAATTAAAGAAATGTAAATCAATACAACACTGAACTGCCTTTCGTTTGGTCTTCCTTTTTTTGCTTTGCTGAGTAGCAAAGATTAAAAAAACAATGCTACCCAGTATTTTAGGGTGTTGGGGAAGAAGCAATTTCACACTTTGTTTATAAACCTCTTTGGAGGTCAATTTGACCATATGTATCAAAAAGCCTTGCTGTGTCATCTGTGTCTCGGTCCTAGCAGAGCTATTACCTGACCGACCTTTGACAGTACCCTGATTGGCAGCTAGCGGCTCCTTATACCCTTTTGCAGTTCCCTTAGTGGCATTAGACCCTGCTTTTTCTGTCACAACACATTTATACCCAGTCGGTGGTTTCTTCATGACAGCACCGTCCACTCCTCTGTTAAAAGAAAATACGGGAGTTTTACTGGATCTGAATACTTCATTGAGGAAGAAACAAACTGTCCTTGAACCGGAATACTTCAAAGCCAAGTCTAGTATGAAGCTCAAAGGCAAGAAGTTCCAGGATGGCTAATCAAGTGAAAATTCAAGGAAGTTATTTAACCTTGTAATGATTGGTAGTTACAATGGAGAGCTCCAGACAGTATTGTTTTCTTATAAATGATTATCCTTTAACATTTTAGGAACACTCTGAAAGATTATCAGAGGCTTTTCAAGAAATAACCTAAGTTATGATAATGTTGATGAGATAGGCTAGATTTAGTTTTCCTTAGAGGGCTTAGGTGATTTTGCAAGCTGGGGTTTTTTCAAGCCTAGTTTACTTTATTTTTAATGTAAATTTTTAATATTATTTTGAGTGTATATTTATAAGATATTTATTTTACAAATATTTTCTCAAAATATTTAATTTGTGAATTTTATTTTATATATTTTTAATTGTTTCGTTTTTTAATTTTTAAATTATTTATTTTTAATTTTTATTTATTATATCTTTTATTTCATTATTTTTCATTTTATACTTCACTTATTAATTTTTAATGACCAAATTTCATAAAACAGCATGAATAAATAAAAGTTAAACCAAATAGATTAGACATATAGTAAAATAAAATAGAATTTTAAAAAATTTGAAATGTAACAACTTTAAAAAACTTAAAATTAATATAAATAATACTTAAAACTGGAAATTTTAAATTTTAATGACAAAAAGCTTAATCTCATAACAAAATTAAAATTTTAATTTAATTAAATTAAAATTAAAATATTTTAAGTTTTAAAAAAGGAACACAAAATTAATGAGTAAAAATTTAAAATAATATTAAATTAAAATAAAATATTGAGTAAATATATTTCATTAAATGTTTTAGGTTGAAAAGTAATATAATCTCAAAAATTAAGCTTAATTACAATTTTAATAATAAAATAACCACATTTAATTAATAAAAATAGCAAAATAAAATAATAAAGTATTTCAGTTTTAAAAGTTTAATACAAAAGTAATTAAAATTAAATATTTTAAAATAAATGTTTTAAATAGAAAAATTATAAAAATGAAACTAATTTAAAATTTTAAATATTGTTAATATTTTTATACTTAAATTTAAAATAAATGAAAAAACAAAAAATAAAAATGGATATCATGCTTAAATTTTTTAGTAAAATTAAATAAATAAAAATATTTAAAAATTGAAATTAAAAAATAAAAATAAAGACCTTTTTAAAGTAAACAACATTAAAATTTTAATTTTACTGAAAATTTAAAAATAAGAAACTATAGAGAAAAATATTTTCTCTTTAAAATGGTATAAATTTCATATTTATAGTTTTATGACATTATATTATATTAAGAATTAATTATAAACATTATATAATTACTTTATTATAAATGTATTAAAAATAATATGCAAATAAAATTATTTTAATTTAAAAATGAAGTGCATTTAATTAACTGAAACTAAACAAAAATAAATATTACATAATTGTTATTTAAATTTTATAAGTTAAATGTTTAAAAATAACGTTAATATAGTTAATTAATTAAAAATAAATTTATACAATAATAAATGAATAAATAAAATAATAATATAATAGAAGTTAAATAATCATAAATAATAAAGATATAATTAACAAAATGCATGGAATAACTACTATGTTAAATTAATTAAAAATAAATAGAATATATTAAAATCTTAAGAAATTTAAAATGTAGTATTATATGATTTTATTAAGATATTATAAAGTAGAAGAAAAATAAAAATTAAAAAATAGAAACTAAAATATATAAAATAATTATGTTTACATATTATTATTTAATACATTATTGTAAAATAGACAAATTTACTAAATGTATTACACAAAAATTCATTAAAAATAAAAAATTTACATAATCAAATCATTATTTGTAAATAAAGTATATATATGAATTACACATTTCATTATATAAAATAAAACATTTATATCAATAAACCATTTATATAAAAACAAAAATATTTTGAATTAGTTATGAATACATAGTTTGATAATTACAGGTAAATAAAAAAGTAAGGAATAAATGTAAGTCACAATAATAAATATAATAAGTTTATATAAATAAAAAATTAAAATACTAGTAAATAAAATAAATAAAAAATAAACTCGATAGAAATTAATAAAAGTACACTTTACTTAGTTATAAATAAACTAAATTACAAGTTAGAATATAAAATTATTATATTAATATATTACATTATATTATTATATACTGCCTTAATTATATATTATTATAGTATCAATTTGTTATGCATTTATGTCATACATAGATGGAATTATTAGCAAGGGAACAGTGGCAGTTCCTTTTATCCAGATGTTATCCATGGGTGACTGCTATGTTTTAAGATCAGGTGTTAAAATAGAAGCATAAAATTTATAACGTTAATTAAAATATATTTAAAAAGCAATAAAACAAAATAATTTTAAAACAAAACTAAAACTTGAAAATTATTAATTCATAAAATGGAAATTATAAAATAAAATTTAAATAAACAAAAAAACAACAACAAAAAAAGCCTTAAAATTGTACACATCCTTTGACCTAGTGATTCCACATTTGAAAGTTTATCCCAGGATTTATCCTAATGAAATAGTCAAATGTGTGTATAAGGATGCTCAGTGCACATTTTAATAAAAGCCATAATACTGAAATTATCTACAATACCTGACAATTGGGGTTAGAGTAAACAAATGATGGTACATCCAATATAGTGAAATAATACATTGACATTATAAATGATGATGTAGAAATATTAGCACACAAAGGTGCTCATAATTTTTAATGAAGAGAAGCAAGTTAAAAACAGCATGTGAAGGCCAGCCGAGTGGCTCAGTTGGTTAAGAGCTCACTCAAGAGTGCGAGCTCTGGGGCCAGCCAAGTGGCGCGATGTTAAGAACTGGCTTGGGAGGCCAGAGGGCCCTGGTTCGGATCCCACATGTGAGGCGGATCCCACATATGAGGGCCAGTGACACTGCCCTCTACAGCTAAGATGCTGAACAACAGCTCAATCTGGAGCTGGGCTGCCATGAGTCCCTGGCAACGGTGTAGGCTGCACCCCTGCTGCAGTGGGCTGCCATGGGCTGCCGTGTGTAGCCAGCAGCCAGCGTGAGCAGCCAGCAGCCGCTGTGAGTGGCCGTCCAGAAGCCAGCGACTGATCTGTCTCACCCAGGAAGAGCGCAATGATGGTGCCAACTTGGGCCAGTGAAGCAACATCCTCCACAACTAGACTGAAGAACAAAAACGACAGCAACTTATCTGTTCCCCTTCCCCCAATTCCCCAGCGCTGTTCCCATCCCCCCAATTCCCCAATAAAAATCTTTAAAAAAAAAAAAAAGAGTGCGAGCTCTGAGCAACAGTGGATCGATGCCCATGCCCGGGCCAAGCTGAGCTGCCACTGACCTGCCAACAGGTAGCAGGATGGCTCAGCTAAAAACAAAACAAAACAAAACAAAACAAAACAAAACAAAACAAAAAAACCAGCATGTGAAGTATGGTCCTATTCTTGTATAAATATATTTGCATATGCATAAAGAAGTCTAGAGGAACATTTTCCAAAATTTGTCTAAGAGTGGTTTTTTGAAAAAAGGTAGATTATGGATGATTTTTTCCTTCTTTTGATTTCTGTATTTTCTAAAGTTTTTATCATACAAATGTGTTGCTATTATAATTACAATTTAAAAAAAAATACAGTATTTTAAAAAAAAAAAGATCCCTACTCTATCCCCTACCCCTGGAATAGCATCTGGTATGTGATAGGTGTGTAAAAAATATTTGTTGGATGAAGGAATAAAAGAATCTGGCTCAGCTCACGGATATGGTTGAAGTTTATGCTGTATGGTGAAATTAACAGACCTGGGTTCAAGTCCTGACCCCTGTCTTAGCTGTCTGGCCATGATTACAATCCCTCAATCTTTTAGTTTCAGCTTCCTCATCTGGGAAATGGGGACACTGAACATACATTCCTTAGGTGATTGTTACGAGAACTGAGATAATATATATGAAATATTTGGTAAAGTGCGAAGTCCTATAGATGTATTAGGTATTACGACTGTACAATGGAACCTACAACATAGATATATACCATTGATATATAACATGAAGGCGGGAATTAGATGATGTGGGTTTAACTGGAGAAGACTTTGAAGATGTGAGATCTCAAAGGAGGTCAGGACATGAGAGGAGAGATCACAGTGAAAAAAGGCCAGAGATCAAAGAAAGGTGTGCATGGAGCAACACAGGAATACACTAACAAAAAGCCTACCATAACCCTCTAACCTGCAGACATTCCCCTCACCATGTTAACATGTCTCATATAGTCTCCCCTGCTCTCAGGACATTCCCCATCCAGCACTTTCCCCCTCCAAACACACTTCCACATACCTGGTGCTGGTTTGCTTCATCAGGGCTTCAATCTTGGGGCTTTGACTACAGGTCATGAACTCTCTCAAATGTTCACAGGTATTTCCAGAAGGCATCTAAGAGAAAGGACACCAGCTCCCAGCATGGGCCTGTGCCCACTCAGAAAGCCTCCGCAGGGAAGGCACAATTAATTCTCTTAAAACTAAGTTCTGCTGGTCCTTGGTGCAGGTGTAGTGAGTAGAGCCAGTCTGCGTTCAGGAGGGGCAGAAAGGGCTTCAGTGAGCAGAATACCAAACAGCCAAAAGAGGAAAGGGCATCAGGAGACCGCTGGGAGGAGGATGGGATCAGAGAGCTGGTAGGGAGGTCGGTCAGTGAGCCATCCAGCAGCTAGCTAGAGACCCTGGTAAGGGAGTAGGCCCACCTCAAGACGAGCTCTACCCTGCATGACCGGGACCATCCCAGACCAAAGATTCTCAGAAGCTAGGCTAGCTTTGGATGTCCCAGGTGGGCACAGAGGAATCCAGGGTCCATTGGAAGCAATCCAGACTGTGACTGCGTGGAAGGAATAGCAGCATCCCCCTGCTAGCTCCTTCCCTGGGGAGGCGTGGGCAGGGCATCGGTCTTGCTGCCACCAGACCAGTCTCTGAATTTGGACTGGCCATTCCCCCACTTATGCCATCCCACCCTTTGCCTCCTGACTCTGATCTCTCTCTTGTCCAGATCCTTCCTACCTCTAAGATGCTGCAATGCCCCACTCCACAGTCTTGTGGGCTGCCAGAAACAGGGGCTCCAGCAGGATCTTGGTGGTGCTTCCACCCTTCAACCGAGAGGAGCTACTGAGGCTCTTGGGCTGAGGAGCTTATGACACCCAGAGGAACTGCGAGAGGAAGGAGGATCTTGGAGTTCACCAGTTAGTGACCACTGGACATGCATTCTGGTTAGTGACCACTGGGCATGCATTTGGTAATACTGGTGGCCCTGTGTGCTGTGAGGAGGAGTGCTAGGTTGAGGGCTTAGCTGAGAGAAGGGGAAGAGTGAGGCAAAGGACTACCTCTGGCCATTTTTATGGTACATTCAGGACTCTGAGGGGGAAGCCACAGTGACTGGGTCTCCTACGAGCTGGGGATGAGGGTTTTTTCAGAGAGCCCCTCCTCCCCCTTTATCTTTCTCTCCACCCCATTCCCCATTTTTTAATAGCAGTTTGTCCATCCAAATGTTACATTTCACGTTCTTTGGATGTTCTAATGGTACAGATATGTAACACGACACACCAAACAGAGATCACAGCAAAAAGAATGATAAAAGCAGTGTCTGAGGAAAGGAAATTAAAAGTAAACAATTGCAGACAGGAGGAGAGATGGGCATCTGGGAGATGAAAGATCTGGAACTTGTGTGTAAAATGGAATTCCTGCCTTCCTAGCTCACAAAAGGAAGATGAAGGAGGAAGTCACAGATGTGCCCATTACTGGCACAGAGGATAACGGGCAGGGATTCGACTAAGGCCCTGGTAAAGTCAAAGGAAGAGCAGAGGACACTAGTGAGATGCATCCACAATCCAGAGAAAAAGGGAACAGGAGCACTGGAGGCTTAGAAGGCCCACCCCAATTTTGGAGAGGATCAGAAAGGCCGAAGAATGAAACTGCATCCTGTGTTTTCTTAAAGTCCATATTTGAAATTTAAACATAGAAACGAGACATAAAGCAATTCACCATTCCATTTAATACTTTCTACACACAAATGCACAGATCTTCTTTAAACAGAAACCGCCCTAGACCATTTAGGTGTTTTATGATTACTGATTTAAGAGACCAGGGTCAGGACGGAAATAAAACATTTTAAGGTGAAAAAGGGAAATGAGAAAATAGGATTTGATTTACAACATTTTAGATGACACACAATAGCAGGGATTTAGACAAGGTATAACAGAACCTAAAATCAGAGGCCCGCAGGAAGTGGCAAACAAGCTCCAGGTGGGGGCAGGGGGTAGGGGTGAGGGGAGAGCCTACCCCAATAGTAGGATTGAGCACAAACACTTCCCGTTTTCCTTGTAGTTTCTGCATCTGCTCTGCTTTGTTGGAATGTTGAACTCCAGTCTTCAGTTGGGGTAATTTCTGGGGCCAGAGAAAGACAGAGGTGGGGGATTGTCTGTGAGGATCTAAAGGAAGGGCCTCGGATGGGAGTCAGGATCAAAGGTCACGTTAGGATTAATGTCAGAGGTCAACAACTTTCTGGAGAGATGTGCTTTAAAGCTCATAGGAGACCTGCATCCCTGAACTGCAGGGACAAGGGTTAATAAAACATTCAGCAGTTTAATCCCAGAGCAAAGCCAACACTCAAGTTTAAAGTTCCAGCCTGAGACCATATCTTTATTGTATCCTGGTCCTTTCACATGTCCCACTGCCCCGGCCACACTAGCTACACACTCTGTTGGCCTCTGAGTGGAATGCCTATCATCTGAAAGTCAAAGTTGCCACCTTATTTTCAGTCTTAGGGTCCATCAGAAGCCCTTCCCATTCATGGAAATCAGGAAATTTCCCCAAATAGTGAACCCCTCACTACCTGAGACAGGGATAACAGTTTCTACTGGAAGTAACGAAGCTGCATGGTAGCACCTAACAGTTGACAAACATTCTGTAAATAAATTAACCAGGAACAAAAAACCCAATGTGCTAATGAGGTAAGAGAGCAACAGGCTTGTTACCTGCCTAGGTGCAACCATGGAACTCAAACAATGGAGATCTTCTGTAGTTGACCTCTACTAGCTTTGCCAGGGGATAATTTGTGCATCACCCTTTGTGTCAGGACCTCAAAGAGTTACCTCTGTACATGGCCTCCCTAACCTCCCCTTATCATTCCATCCCTGCAAAGTTCCCATCCCTTCTTGAACTATTTTTATATATATAAAGTTTTTATTTGTATTACTTCTAGGGCAAACAAGTTTCACGTATTGCATACCCATTGTGTTTTCCTATCATTTGTCCTCAAACTACTTCTGAAATTTCCTAGAGACCTAAGACAGAGAAGACCTGAGCAGAGAGCAAAGACAGTGTTTATTGTGTGGTTTAAAACCGAGATTCCCAAATTTGGCTGCACACCAAAATCACCTGGGGTGTTTTGTTTGTTAAAACCTATCCATTTCTGGGCACCACCCCCGCTAAGAGTCAGCTTCAGTATTTCTGGAGCAGAGCCCAAAACTCTGTATTTTTAAAATGCTTCCCAGACGACTCTGAAGATCAGCCAAGTTTCGGAGCCACTGATTTAAGGAACAACTGGAAGATCTCCACGCCTACACTGTTTGAAAGCCTTTATTTCACTTAGTCACGGTGCCTGAAATTAGCATCCACTGCAGCAGATACATTTTTTTGGTGAAGGAGAGGCCTCCATTAAAAGGATCAGGGTTAAGAGTATTTTAGACTCATTTACACTTTTGTATGAATTACACGATAAACTTGGAATAGAGCTGAAAATGAAAGAAGTACCTCAGAAAGAACCTAGGTCAACCGTGTCCCAAAGACCACCCCTAAATACACAAAGGGGCTCTTGAGTAATCAACAAGCCTCCGCTGGAATGCCTCCAGTGACAGGAAGCCCTCGGCTTCATCAGGTGGCCCACTCCAATGGTTTATTTAGCAGAGTTTCCTAAGACTGGCTGTGCATCACAATCTCCAGGGATGCTTTCAAAAAAGAGATACTTCAGGGCCTTACTACATCAGAGCTCCCACACAAGGGGCTAGAATCTACTTTATTTTTTTAACACTCGCAAGGCAGCTAATCCACAGCACCACACCCAGCACTATTGATTTAATATGCTGACCTTCTCTGAGACCAAAGTGGCCATTTAGACAGAGAATAAGAGGGAGGTAATTTGGAGGCACAGGGCTCTCAAAAAAGGGGAACAGGGTGGGGATTTGAAGAACCACAGGGGACCAAAGGGATGTCTGAAATGATGGAGAATGAGCACTAAAATTCGGGAGCTGGGCAAAGGAGAGGAGTCCACTCAATACCCATTACTCCTTCTTTGAAAAGATGCTTGGGGCTCACCTCAAAGGAAAATACAGATTTTTGTGGTATGCATTTTCCTGACCCCATTCTATACCCTGGCCCTTGTTTGTCTTATCTCTTCAATACTTGTTTTAAATGTATGCTTTCTCGTTTTTTATGTATCCTTTATAAACTGCCTTCAATCCTTTCGGAAATGAGAGAATAATTAAATAAACCAACCACCCCCAACAACAACAACAAAACACAGAAGCTTATGGACCCCCATATTTACTTTAAAATTCTGAGATTTGGTGAACAAAACCATATTCACCCTGCCCTCTCCTTTTGATTGTACTGTAGATTTTGACAGGTTCCCTCCTGGTTTCCTCAGGGGTCTGGCGAGTCACCACCTTTCATTACCAAAGACTCCCCAAGCCATGCTCACTGGGTTGAAACCAACCAGGACTGGCAAGAAGGCAGCTGGGTTATCCATGCAGTAGTCCATCTGGCCTGCCACAAAAAGGGCCTGAGGGTAGGGATAGAGAGAAGAGCATGATGGTGGTGGGTGGATTACTCTAGCATTGCCCAAGGCTCATATGTATCAGAATCTCCCAGAATGCTTGTTAGAAATGCAGAGTCCCGGGCCCCGTTAAGATCTACTAGATCCAATTTTAAAGGGGAGAGCTCATGGACCTCCACTTTAAACAAGCTCCCCCAACGGAATCTTCTGCATGGTAAAACATGAAAACTACTGAACTAAATTGTAAGCTCCTCGAGGTCAGTGTCTTGTTCTCCTTGTGTGCCTCCTTCCACATCTAGCACTGCTGATATCTAGTTTCTGTTCAAGAGAATTCTTAGAATGCTACAGAGTTAAGAGGAAACTTGGGGTCATCTGGTCCAGTGCTTCTCAAACAAATTACCTGGGAATCTTACTAAAACGCAAATTCAGACTCAGTAGGTCTGGGGTGGAGCCTGAGATTGGGCATTTCTAACAAATCCCAGGTGATACTGATATTGCTGGTGCAAGGACCACACTTTCAGTAGCAAGGAACTAGTCCAGGGGTCAGTTCTTTCTGTAAAGAGCCAGAGAGTAAATATTTTAAGCGTGGGTTCCTACAATCTCTGTCCAACCACTCAACCCTAGCATTGTAGCATAAAAGTGGCTATAGACAATATGTAAACACAAATGGCAGTGTTCCAATAAAACTTTGTTAACAAAAGCAGGCAGCATCTGGACTGACCTGCCAGCATAGGTGGACTAGCCCACCTATCTTGGTTGTTGAATGGATTGATACATTGTTACTCTGAGATAGGATCCCTTTCCCCTCCTCCCACATTCATTCAACTGGATGCTAATTAGTGAGAGTAAAATCGAAATTCCTTGTGCAAATTCTTTCTGTTTTCTAGCACCCACCTTGTTAATCTTTTATGCTATTCCATTTCCACCCCCTTCCTCCCTGTAAAATTGATCTACCCAGTCCATCTTCACACTCGCAGAGTCCCACCAAAAAGCCAATGACGATCACCCTCTTCTTCCAGCAACCACCCAGGAGAGCAGAATAGGTGAGATAATGCCACCAGTAGGAATCTAGGGTACAAACTTATTGTGTGGGGATGTCAGGGCCAGAACCAGGGGAGAGAATGGGTTTTGACTGGATGTTGGGCATTTCATGTCCCCATGAGAAGGAGCAGACAAAAGGTCTCTCATTGAATGGCAGTGGAAAACAGAGACCTTCAGTTCCTCAGTCCTGTGCAGGGCACTATGTTCTGTCCCCTTCCTAGAGGCCACCACAGGCCTAAGAGGACAGACTCAAGGTCAGTGGCATTGGTTGGGGAGTAGAAGCCTATGGTGTATTAGGGCAGGCTGCTGTGAGAGAAGGGAACAAAGGGAAAACTATCATTGAAAGAGCACCTACCATTGGTTGGGCACCATGATAGATACTCTGTAAGGTTGAAAAGCTCGAATACCTACAAGGGTGTTTGGCAACATAATTATGTGAAATGACCCAAGTGTAAGGCAGTAAGGAATGGTAGGGCCCAAAGCAAACTGGACACAATCTCCATCTCTAGGCCCCTGGTTATCTGGTAACCCCGGGAGAGCACCTGGGGTCCCTCTCTGCATAAACCTAGACTCCCCAGCCTCTCCTTTGCCCCTGAAGAGGAAGATCTGAGGTTCATTACTCTTGCCCTCTGGGTACAATGCCCTCTTCTCTGGATGGCCTGGAGCCTGGAAGTGCAGGACCGTATTCAGGCCCAGTCCCAGGGCAGTGAGAATCCCTGGGCAAGAATGCTCTGGGGCCAGGATGCATCAGAAGGCCAGGTATCAGCGTCCTCAGGCTCAGCAGAGGTCAGAGGCCCAGGACAATGGCTTGATCACATGCTCAATTCACACAGTCCTCCCTGCCCCACTCGCCCCATTTCATTCTCTCCTCTCAGAAGGAAGACAACAGAAGCTTTAGAGCCCCAGGGGTGCTGCTCACTGCACTGGAAAGCGCCACAGAAATAGAAATACTGCAATGAAAATTACAAACCAAAGTATCTGCCCTAAATACATTAGCCAACATTTATTTACATTGAACAATGCACTTTTTCACATACAGTATCTCATTGGGTACATTAACACTAAGAAGACAATACTAACACCCTCGTTTTTCAGGTGATGAAATTGAGGCTCAGAGAAGTTGTCTGTTGCTAAAAATCACAGCTGACAGAACTGGGACTCACACCCAGATTCTGACTTCAGGTCTCAGGGTCAACCAAAGCATGCAATAACGTGAGGATTCATAAATGCTTATTGAATTAATGAAGTAATTAACAAATTGGCGTACATTAATCTCATTTACACAGTGTTGTAAGATTTGCAAACATCGTTCCCAAACATTGTCTCATTTAATTGCCACAACAGCCCTGAGACAGTTTGGATGCTCTGATTTACAGGTGGGACACCTGAGACTTAGATTAACCAATTCCCCCCAAAGCCACACAGTAAATCGCAGAGCAAAGACAAGACACATAGGTCGTTGCTCTTAAAATTTCCCCCCTATAAACCCAGGACTCTTAATCTTTGTATCTCCAGCTCTTAATATGCCAGACACATAGGAGACGCTCAATAAATATTTGCTTAATAAATGAAAGAATGAAGGAGTGAAGAGAATCAATATCACATTTGAATGAGGAAGAGGCTTAAAAGCTGACGCAGTCTAAGAGTAGGAGGTTGTTAAAACAGTTATTATCTCGATCATTCTGTGCCCTCCCGCACTGGAGATGGCATTCCTCCTCCTAACTTGGCTAATTTCATCCAGTGACATTACCTCCCAGGTACCCGAGACCCTCGCGCCTGTGCCTCTCCCCTCGTCCCCGCGGGCTTATGGGATTGAGCCCGGATCTGAAGGGATAGGGTCCGGGGGGCTGCCAATGGGAGGGTCGTGGGAGGAGCCCCGAGAGAACCGGGTGGTGGGACGGGAGGAGGGATGACGGCGGCAGGAGCCCCAGCGGGGCGGGGCGGGCCCCGCACGTCCCGGCCAGGCTGCGGCGGAGCGAGCGGGGCCAGCTCTGCAGAAGACGGCGGCTAGTTCGCCGGGACGGTCACATTCCGTTGCAGGGACCAGCGGAGGCAGCCGCACTGCCTCCCGCACCGGGTATCCAGGCCAGCGGCCAGCCGCGCTGGCACCGCCCCTCGCTCTCCAACAGAAAACACCGCGCGGGTCCGAGCTCTGGGGGCCCCACAGCCCCGCAGCCCGCCCCCGCTACGCCTCCGCCCGCCCTCTGCTTGCAGCTCGGTCCCGTGCTGCCCGCCTTGGCGGGCCCGCTCCAGGATGGGGTAGGGGCATCACCACCAAGTCGGGCGATGGGCCGCCCACTGGGCACCGAGCAGCCCCCCGAGGCCTGACCGACCGCGAGGAACGGCGGAGGTGGGTGTGGGTAGGGCAGAGCCAAGCACTGGGGGAGCCCGGGTGATGCGGGGGCGCGGACCGCGTGGGGAAAGGGAGAGCTCTGGGGCTGCTGTTGGCTGTGGGGAGCCCGGGAGAGCTGCTGCCCACCAGTGCGTTCTGGGCAGTCCTCGACCCCCGCCCCCAACTCCTGCCACCTCCAGGAGCCCCGCCTGGATGTCTAGCGGATGCCCCAGTGCCTCCTAGCGGACTCGGTGGGGACCATGGCTTCGCTGATGCCCCTCTCCCCGTACCTAAGCCCCACCGTCCTCCTGCTGGTCAGCTGTGACCTGGGCTTTGTGCGAGCAGGTGAATAAAGGGGGACGGGGTGGGGATTAACCAGAGCTGGTCTGTGGGTGGAACCTGTTAACCGGTTAACACACTGGCACTCACAGACCGGCCTCCATCTCCTGTGAATGTGACAGTCACTCACCTAAGAGCCAACTCAGCCACTGTGTCCTGGGACGTCCCAGAAGGCAACATCGTCATTGGCTACTCCATTTCCCAGCAAGTATGAATCACCCTTCTTCTCCCCCAAATTGTGTCCTTGGATCTCTGAACATTCCTTCAGTAACCTGCCCTCCTCCCCAGCTCCCCCAACTTCCCTCTGAGCGATGGGAGAATCTGGAAGCTCATGTTCCCTGGCTCAAGCTGCACTTTTCATCCTACTCCCTTGGAGCGCTTGGATGTTCAAAAGTCCTGGGTTGAGTCTGTGGCCTGGGACTGGGGTGAGGCTGCCCTCCTCTCTCTCATTGTCTCCCTGCAGCGACAGAATGGCCCCGGACAGCGTGTAATCCGGGAGGTGAACACCACCACTCGGGCCTGTGCCCTCTGGGGCCTGGCTGAAGACAGCGACTACACAGTGCAGGTCAGGAGCATTGGCCTTCGGGGAGAGAGCCCCCCAGGACCCCGGGTGCACTTCCGAACTCTCAAGGGTTCTGACCGGCTGCCTTCAAATAGCTCGAGCCCAGGTGAGGGTCTCAGCTATTCCCCACCTCCTAAAGCTTTGCATTCTCTGGCTTTTTATTTGGACTTGAGCCTCTTGTTTACTTCCTCAAAGCAAGCAACAGTCTAGCTTAGATGAATATAAGGATGATTGAATTTGTTGTACTGCCAGGAAAGGAAGGAAAGGAGGTTGGCAGGGGATCTGGTTATAGACAGGCTGGTAATGAATCGTTTGGGGGAAGGGCTTTTAAACTTCCTTTTACTCAACCTCAGATCACAGCAGCTTCAGCCTGACTGAGTGAGTACCTGACCTGAAGCCCTCCTGCTTTTTGGCCTCTGACCACGTGTCCACCAACAGCTTCCCAGAAAGGGGCTACCAGGGCCAACCCTGTGATGGGTCTACGCTGACTCTAATCCCCAGCGTCTCCATCCTTGACTGTCTCTCTAGCTACTCTGCACAACCTGGAGTCTGTCTCCTTCCTTCTCAGGTGACATCACAGTGGAGGGTCTGGATGGAGAGCGACCGCTGCAGACAGGGGAAGTGGTCATCATTGTGGTGGTATTGCTCATGTGGGCTGGTGAGTAAGCAGCTGGATAGGGGACCAGTGATTGAGGGAATGGGGCTCAATGAAGGTGGGAGGTGGTGAAGGTTGTTGGGAGAAATGGGGGTGGGAGAAATGGAGTGGGAAGATGCTTAGTTGAGAGGGGTGAGCAAGAAAAATTTGAAGAGAGAGAGAGGAGGCTGTAGGGAGCGCTGAGAGGAAGATTAAAAGGGTGCATGGGCACCAGGAATTCAAGGATTTTCTTCTCAGATTTTCTTGAAACTGTGGATATCTCACCGCCCTTCAAGGCTGTGAGTGGGGAGGTTGGGATCAAGGCTCAGATTGTATTGTTGTGTTTCAGCTGTAATCGGGCTGTTCTGCCGTCAGTATGATATCATCAAGGACAACGATTCCAACAACAACCCGAAGGAGAAAGGGAAGGGGCCAGAACACAGTCCTCAGGGAAGGCCAGCCGGGACAAGACAGGTGATGTGGGGCCAGTGAGGTAGGGAAGGGTGATTCTGTCTCTCAGAGCAGCCAGGGAAAGGGAGCAAGCCAAGAAGGGGTAGGGAAAGGGGGAGAAGGGAAATTTGGGACGGAGGAGGCTATTACCTTCCTGAAATTAGAGACTCAAGCCATTTTCTTTCACAGAAAAAGTCACCATCCATCAACACCATTGACGTATGAGTGAAGAAACAGAACCAGAAGACAGATGCACTAACCACCTGGGGATGGGGATGGGGATGGGGTCAGGGAGAGCCTAAGATGATGATCTGCCCAAGACTAAAGGATCCCACAGTCTCCCAGAAGATAATGACACTCCCACAATCTCAGGCCTGGTACCCATCCTCTTTCCACTGTGAGCAGGGCCAGAAGGTATGTCTGTTAGGGTCTGTGCCTCTGAACCTAGGGAGTGGCTATCAGGTGGGATATGTCCTTCCATTCCCCAGGTCCAAGGGACAATCACTTGTTAAACCCAATCCCATTAGGTCCCAAATGGGGCCCATTTCACCTGCATCACAACTCTCAGCATCCCTAGCTGCCCCCTTATCTTGCCTCTGGGTCTCAGAGAGAGGTGTTTCTGTGGGTACTCCTCCTCCCCCAGCAAATAAAAGGAATAATCTGGGCTTAGAGACAGACGCTGCACTGCACTACTCCAATGTCTTCCATGGAGCCTCAGGTGCTCCCCCGTCACCTGGCAGCACCCCCAGCTGCTGGTGATCTCACTCCTTGGACATTTTTCCAATAAAGATTCTTGGACAAACTGGAGCTGACTGTATAATATACTATATAGTATGCTGAAGAAACTTCCCCACCTTCTCTCCCCTGATCACAAGGGCCCCTCACACCACCATCAATTTGACAGGAGCAGACTCTCATTTTAAGGTGTTTGCTTTCCTTCTCCAGCCTGGAATGGGTGGAGAGGGACCAGAAAGGGGCGTAGAAAACTACAGCCCCAGTTCCTTTTGTTTTGTTGAGTGAAAAGGGAGAGAAGGAAAAAAGAGGATATAAATTCTTCCCATGCCAGTAGAAACTACGGTTACGTCACATGAGAGGGCCAGTAACCTTTTTATCTTCACTGGCCACATCGGCAGTCCAGCTCCTCACCATTTATTCCTCTGACTCCTCCATCAACCCTGAGCTAGTTTTCAGAAAAGGACTGAATGAACGGTGTCTTGGGACAAACGAAAAAGCAACTACACTCACTAATGGGCCCCTTCGAGCCACACGCTCCTCTCCAGTGTGTTCCTGTGCCTATTCTTCCCAGCCCTCACTTTCCCTTTTGTCTCTGTCTGTCTCTATTCATTCGGCCCAAGTCGATAATAACTGTAAAGCATAAATGACTTTATATTCACTCTTTGTCACTAGATCCAGAGGAGGATTCTGGAAATAAAGCTGAAGGGTTGGAACTCCCCTGTCAAAAGAATTATAATTTGGGCTCTGGGACCTACTTGTTCCCTGTGAAAATAGGGGCTGTCCTCGTCTCTTTCCTAAGTTCCAAGGGCATTTGGTGCGAGTGAGAGAAATACCTGTTGACATTTACCAGTACTGCGGGGAGAAGGCTTCAGAACCTAGAATCTGGACAGCATATGCTATGCTTTCTGAAGGATTACAGGTCTTCTCAACTTTGGATCTTTCCAGAAGAGGCTTATGAGTAATGCTCCTTTTCTGCATCTTGATTTCTCTGGTATGTTACAGGAAATTAGACCAGTAATTCTGAAAGGGACTCCAATCCAAACAAAGACCAAGAAGTCAATATCTTTTCTACTTAACCAAGTTCCAACCCCAGGTATCACAAGACTTAACCTTAACCTATCAGGTGAGCCAAGCTCTGGTTTGCCCCCCATCTCCCACACTGAACCATGAAAGCATCCTGATCTACGCAGCAGTCTTTAATCCACCATTACCCAATTTGGAAGTAGGTTACCTTACCTCCTCCTGGCCACTGGTTCCAAAACACTCATCTCTCAGACTGGATACATCATCGTTTCTTGGGATGGGAGTGTCACAGGGGTGTGGTAGCATGGCATGGAGATAGGGAACTAGGAGTTGAGAAGGGATATAAAGGGTGTTTAAATGCGCTAGCTCTGGATGGAATCCCAGTTCAGTCCTTAACTGACTGTTATCTTGGGCTAAGGACCCCTCTAATCCTGAGTCTCCTGTTTTACGTACAGTGAGACTAATAATGCTATCCTTTCAAAAGGTGGCTTTGAGATTAAATGAGATAATTCATGTGCAACACTTTGCACAGTACACCTGGTGGACACATACTGAGTCTTCACTGTTAGCTATCATTATTAGCCCTGTGATTCCGTGCAAGTCATATAACCTATTTGGGTTCAATCCCGTCAAAGTAAAAGTCCTAGAATAGCAACTGCCCTGCTTTCCTTCAGGGTTGTGAGGATTAAAAGAACGCACTCTGCCACGCTACCGTACATCAAAGAGCAAGACAAGCTGCGATTACGTAGTCCTGGGGTTTGCAGAAGGCTTGCGCACGTGGCTCGCGCTTGAGTTTGCATGCAGCGACGGGATTGGTCAAAGAGAGGCGTCATCAAGTCTGTCTGGGTCCCGCCCTAAATAGCACTGCGCCTGCGCACTTTCTGTTTGCTTCGCCGCGAGCCTACGTGGTGACCTTGCGATTGCGACGTGTGATGCGCTCTGGTCGCATTTGCGTCAGCGGCGTAGCTGCGGCTGCGTGGCAGGTTGTCCAGGTAACCACGGGAGTTGTCGCTGTCTGGTGGCATCTGAAAGACAGGTGTTCGTCATGCAGTTGAAGCACCTGAGGACCCTTCTGAGCCCTCAGGTGAGGAGTTGCGTGCCTCTTCCCTCCCCCGCCCGCCTTAACTCTCCAAGAAAAATGAGGTACTGAAGATTAATGTTGAGCGCCTACTGTGTGCAGAAGACTGAAGGCTATAGCCATGGTTCAGACTCTGCTCGGTCTATAGTGTTCAGTAGGCAAGATGGACCGCGAACGGCTGTAGCTTTTATTGCGTTTCATTTATAACATCAGTGATGTGTACCAGGCCCCGAGCTGGGGCTCGGAGGGATCCAGAACTATCGATAGCTCAGTTATTGGTCCTGCTTTCAAGAGGCTCGTTCTAGCGGGAGAGGCGCACATGTAAACAACGAACGTAAATCTACACCGAATTAAACAGGCGCTTTAGGTACAAGCCCCAAAGAGGGAGTGCAGAGGATAGATTTAGAAGAGTTTGGACACGGGGGCGGAGGTGGGGGAGGAACCCTGAAGCATGGCGAAGAAAGGCTGGGTTTTGGAGTTAGAACAGAATTCAAGTCCTAGTTCCACCAGTACTTGAAATAAATGACCTGATACTGCTGACTTTAGCCCTTATCACACAATCTCTCTCACAGCACTCACCCAGATTCTTCATTTGGAAAATGGGAGTAATAGTAATAACAACCTTAGGGGGATTAGGGAAACGTTAAAGGAAGAGATATAAACAAAAGAACATTGTAAACTGAAAAGCAGTGTAAAAACTGACAACAGAGAAGGATATTCAGAACTCAAAGGACAAAATAATACAAAGCTAATAAGAATAATCTGTCATAACTGCTTACTATGTGCCAGGGCAGCATAAGAAAAGAAGTTAGAATTGTGGTTTATGGAGTCAGACATACATGGATATAAATCTTGGTTCTGCCACTTACAAACTGTGTATGTAAACTTGAGCAAATTACTTACCCTTTCTGTGCCTCAGTTTCCCCATCTGTAAAAGTTGTATAATAATAGCATCTATCTCAGGTGGTAAAACGAGATAATGCATCTAGAGCACTTATCAAAGTGCCTAGTCTATGGTAATAAGTGCTTATTAAAGGTTAACTACTATTGTTCTATTCTCTACCTCATTTAATCCTCACAACATTTCTGTGAGGCACATATTGCAGAGAAAGGAGAATTGATTGGTTATGGGAAGCAGGAAGGCTTCAGAGAGGATGTAGCATTAGGAGAATAGAATGAAATTAGAACAAAAGAAAGATGTGCTCATTGCTCAGGAAACTGCCCCCTGAATCTAATTTAAAATTTTCTTTACCTTAATGAAGTAATTGAAGATGAAATTCTCCTCCTTCAGTCTTTCAAAATAAGATGATGTCATGATGCAGGAAAGGGCTGAATGCCTGGGATTGGACAAGAGGATAAAGAAAGATGATTGGCAACAGTTGTTTAGGAGCCCTCCAGCCCTTCTAACCTAATTTAATCAAGAACTGGAGGGTGATAATAGTGGTAGTATGACTATTTTCTGACTTTGGTTTGAGGATTTTGATGGAAAAAAAAGCCTTTTTTTTAACCTGACTTTGGAGATATGTTGGTTAGGAGTGAAAAGTAACTGTTTTAAGCCAGTGCTTGAGCCCAAGTAATTAATCAAACAATTGCAGCAGAAACTAATTTTTTTTGTTTTATATTTTTGTAAATCTTTTTTATTTTTCAATTATAGTGGACATTGAATATTATTTTATATTAGTTTCAAGTGTACAGCATAGTGGTGAGACATATACAGAGGGTGCCAAAAAATGTATACACATTTTAAGAAAGAAAAACTGTATTAAAATGGGAATACTCAATATACACTGATAACAAAAGATGAATACAAGTCACGTTTGACTTCTGCAATTACAAGAGGTGCTCAAAGTGGTTACCATCAAAGTGGTCTAGACACTTCTGATTACAGCAAACTACTGCTTGAGCAATGATGACCAAAGTGTCCACTTGTATACATTTTTTGGCACCCCAAGTATATAATTTATGAAGTGATTCCCCTGGCTTAGTTTAGTACCCAGCTGGCGCTACACATAGTTATTGAAGTATTATTGACTATATTCCCTGTGCTATACTTCATATTCTCAAAATAAATGTTCTATTTCAAGGAGGGAAATCCTTAGTATAGAACCATAGAGGATCAGGGCTGGTGGTGAAAGGGACAGACATGCAAGAATAATTCACTGGGAGATTACTTTTTTTTTTTATTGGGGAAGGGGAATAGACAAGTTGCTGTCCTTTCACTCCTCAGTCCAGTTGTGGAGGACGTCGCCTCACTGGCCCAAGTTGGCACCATCATTGCGCTCTTCCCTGGTGAGGCAGATCAGTCACCGTCTTCTGGATGGCCACTCACAGTGGCTGCTGGCCGCTCACGCTGGCTGCTGGCTACACAGGGTAGCCCATGGCAATCCACTGCAGCAGGGGCTGCAGCCTACACCCTCGCCCGCGACTCACGGCAGCCCAGCTCCAGGTTGAGCTGTTGTTCAGCATCTTAGCTGTAGAGGGCAGTGTCACTAGTTCTCATATGTGGGATCCGAACCGGGGCCCTCTGGCGTCCCAAGCTAGCTCTTAACCAACGCGCCACTCAGCCCGCCCAGATTACTTCTAACTAGGGCTTTTGTGAAGTGGATAGTTAAGGAAAAAAAGACAAACAACAAGGTGGCATTGTTCATCCTAAGTCTCAACTCTGACCATTTTATTCCCTATTCCAGAACTTACACTGTCTCTCCCTTTCCTACCAAATAAGCCCACACTGCTTAGCCTAGCTTTGAAGATCCTTCTTGAGCTGGCCTCAATTGGTTTTACCTGCCTTACCTCCTCTGTTTTTCTATTTACAAGATAGTTTCAGCTAAATTAAATTATTGTTTCTTCACCATACTTGCTATTACTCATGCCATTCCTTCTACCTCACTCAGCTGCATTCATTCTTCAAAGCTTAATGTTGATCATATAAACATAAAATTATCTCAGTCTTCTCCAAACTATTATAGAGCTTTGTACATACCTCTCTTACAGGTCTTTTTATAGTTTTGCACATCCTGTTACATTCTGGAACAGGGACCATGTTTTGCTCTTTGTCGCCCTCTCAGCCCCTGGCCACATGCCTTTCTTAGCAAAGTACTGACAAAGTATTAATTGAATGACTGGCTGAAGACCAAAACTTACATCAATTACATTTATTTCAGTAGCAGACCTAGGGTATGAGGGACCAAGGCCATTGCAGGGACACATTGATACGGTTGACTAAGAATGCCACCCCTTAGTACACTTGCATTATGGATTTCTAGAATTGCCTTGTTCTCACAGTCTAGGGTTTTATGGCCTTAGAGACCAGTATGGATTATGGGCATCTCTTTGTTGTACGGATTTTTTTAAAGGAAAATTGACCGAAATCACACTCGAAGTAATGGAACTAGAAATGCTCTTAGCGTTCTAGATCAGCACATTGGTTTATTTTTGCCCCCTTGGCCTCTGCAGGATGGAGCTGCAAAGGTGATCTGCATGGCTTGGTCCCAGAACAATGCCAAATTTGCTGTCTGCACGGTGGACCGAGTGGTGTTGCTGTACGATGAACATGGGGAGCGGAGAGATAAATTCTCCACCAAACCAGCTGACATGAAGGTGAAGAGAGTACTCCTGAGAACAACCTGCTGATGGGGCCTTCCAAACCTGGAAAACCTCCTAATTTACTTCCCAGCCATCGGCATAGGAAATGGCCTGCCCCCACTTTTCTCAGTATAAATGCCTCGAGACCATGGTCACACGTGCACCTTTTTTCCTCTTTTCTCTTTCACATGTACTCATTAGTTTTTCTTTCTTTTCTTTTTTAAACTCTTAGTATGGCAGGAAGAGCTATGTGGTGAAGGGCATGGCTTTTTCTCCCGATTCCACTAAAATTGCCATCGGACAGACTGACAACATCATCTATGTCTACAAGATTGGAGAAGATTGGTGAGGACAGAGACTGGGAGATGGAGTGACCCAGAAAAAACGGGGAAGACGGGAAGAAATGCCTCACTGGGGAGGGGGAATAGAGAGGATGAGGAGCCAAACTGGGGCATGGCCAGCAGAAGCCTCTGGAGTCTATCGTCGTTGCCTCCATACCTCTGCCTGTCCCACGTTCTGCAATCCCATCCCTGGAGGAATCAGTCTAAGGGCAACAAAGAGGTCCTGTGAGATCCCAGGGAGCCACGGGTGATGTCGCATCTTTGTTGTTGTTCCAAAGCTACGCAGGCTCCCTCATATGCCTCCTTTCAGGGCCTATGGAGTGGTAGGAAAACTAATGGGCCATGACATTATGTGTGTCGATTTACTTACGGAAGTGGTTTTTAATATGCTGTCTCTCCTTTTGCTTGGCAGGGGTGACAAGAAAGTCATCTGTAACAAGTTCATCCAGACGGTACAGTTCAGACTAGTCCCTGGGAAATTAGGCTGAATAAACATGTATCAAGATACTGCTTATAAATTGAACCAGGAGTTGCCTGACTTTTCCTGCTGCGAGGATGGTGCCACCTGGCTGCTCATCCTCATCTGCTTTCCTCCTTAGAGCCCTGCTGTCCCCTCCTCTCCTTCCCTATAGGCAACTGGGGTGGTGGCATGTGGCAGGGTGTCCGGGTTGTTCAGGTCCAGGTGGTTATAAATGTGTTAACCTACACAGATGGGGTTATCCTGCTCGTCATTTCTTTCCTACAGAGTGCTGTTACTTGTCTGCAGTGGCCA